GAGCCACTGGTCCCAAACGTCTCCGATTAAATGTCGTTTTCCTTTTAAGGCCACGGTGTTATTGACCGATGTGTTGAGTTGTTTGGCTCACGTATAAAGGTCACCTGTCCACGTGAGTCGATAAGTCGCTATGTTAACGGAAGTCTATGCAATTCGATGTAAGTTCATATAGATATCCGTGTAAGTCTGTATCAGGCGATGCTTCTTTGTGCGAGTCTATAGGTGTGTATATGTAAGTATGCGCAGCTGAGTCGTTCTTGTGCTATCCTAGGTAGTCTTCCTGATAACAGAGACTCCAATGAGCTCTTACCTGCTCACGAATGAGGATCACATATCTTGCCCTGTGTACACCCACGCTATTAATTTAGTTGCACAGTTACTGAACTCTACTTGGTGAAATTCAGGACGCCGCTTGAAAAGAGAATCCCCTGGTCCAAATGGGCTCTTACGTGTTCAAAAAGAACAAACGTAACTTGATATGTCTGTTAAACAATACAAAAAATGAATGCAGTACACTTGGTATTCACACCATCAGTGTGCAGTGTTATAGCGCAAGCGGCAATGTTTCACAGACGGAGTCTACGGCAGTTTAACAGCGGGGGGGGGGGGCGGATGCGACGTTGCTTTGTTGGATCCCCCACGGAGTCATTCGCGAGTAATTTTTCAAATTTTAAAAATTTGGCAAATTTGGACCATTCCATTCATTCATTCGTTCCATGACACCGGCGCCAGGGCGTCTTCAACGTCCCAAATCCCCCCCCCCCGCCCGCCACCCCCTCCCGCGATTAACTCGTCGCGTAACTTGTGGTGAATACAGCCGCAGTTGTGTCCAGCGTGGCCTGCCGGATGCGAACCGCGAAACTTGGCAACACACGCGGCGAACGCGACACCACCACCACCACCCGACAATGTCACCACCGCCCCCAAAGTATCTCGACAAGTCTATGACGGACAAGATAGTAAACCACTCTAGTCTGCGCTCCTTCAACGGAGGAGAAAGAATAGCAAAACGACGAAACATTATCTCTCTCTCTCTCTGCTGAAGCCCTCTCGTCGTGGCCAGCAGACCTCCATATCGGCATTCAACTCCTGAACACATTGCCAAAGGCAAGAATAGAACGACAGCTGTGCAGTGCGGTCCTTTCTTAAACCCCAAGGTCTCCTCCACCTTACAAAAGAGAAACCCCTTGCGTGGTTCTCAATGGGCTCTTAGCTGCTCGTAAGTAAAGGCCATCGTCTCCGTGAGTACAAAACACCGCAACCCGCGCGCTGCCCTAGAGAAAGAGAGAGAGCTGCTGGATCTCGCCGTGGCCCCGTAACTCGACTCCACTCTCGCTTCTCTCGCTTCTCTTTCGGCGCGACTGTTGTTGCGCTTGTAGCCCCCGACTTGGGTGAAGGTGTTGGGGTTCGCAAGCGACGCGTCGCCAACAAAGAGCTCCCAGCCCAGATTTCAGTCCACCAGCGGGCGAGTCTCATCCACGGGGACTGCCGCAGACGATCTGCCACCGAGGCCTCGTTTTAGAAAAACCGTGGACGGATGCTGGGCTGAGTCACTCAACCCATGATCAGCATTTGAGTTCACAACTAGTTGCGCCACCTAGCCAGATTCCTCGATATTAAGGGCATTATTATAATAACAACAATCATTTACAGACCATTCTCAATAAACTGCTGGATGAAGACCTCCCCACGTCGTGGTTTGCACGGGATATTTATTTTCACCATATTCAACCACGCTGGTGAGTGCTGGGCGGTGAAGACGTTTGGCAGGATCGGGTCCGATATCACTTTTCCACTGATGTTAGCCGTGACTGGGAATCCATCTCGGTTCGCCTTGATCACCAAAGTTCAGCACGCTCACCAACGTCCCACCGCTCCACCTCTTGTTGTATGACTCCTCATCGTTTCGCGAGAAGGCAGCACGTCCCACGGACAGGGTCACAGGGACGCCCGCAGACTCGTTCTTCACCCGACACTCGCCAGCCGCTCGACCACTCGCTCACCTAACGCGGCTTGCAGAGGGCGAGTGGGCGAGTGGGCATGTATTCATTTATCGATTCGAAACGATTCTAAGGCTCACAACGATACATGCGTGGAATAGTGCAAAGTTGGAGCCGGTGATTCGCGATCGGTGATGGTCGGAAGGAAGTCGAAGGGACAAATGAGACGGGGATATGAGACAAACCCGAACAGCACATGCGAAGACTGTAAACTTCATGCCGAATATAAACACACACATGCACACAGCATTATCGATTATTGAATGCAATCGCGATTCTCAATCGTTGCAATTAATCGAAGCGCGCGGGAATGTGCGGCGGAGGGAAGGAGGTGACTCACGGGCCGGGCCTCGAACTCAGACGGCCTGGTTCAAAGCGCAGTGCGCCGATCACTGTGCCACCGCTCCACCCTTAGCACAGCGACCTCACATTGCTGTTACATGTCAATGTTGATTAGTAAGGAATCCGAATTCGTATTTTCCATCCACGAATGGCGTGGAGTTCTTCCCGGTGAGCAGTTTCACAGAGTGAACGAATGAACATCAAACACACCGAGTGCGTCCGTTGAGGCCCACCTGTGTTTAACCAGAGGCCGCTTGGGCTGCTGCTTCTGCTGCTGTCACACAGGTGGTGTGACAGCTCTAGGCACCAGTTTCCGGATTATCCCAGTAGCAAAAGTAGCTACATATGTAGCAGCTACGGGCCCCGCACTTTCAAGGGCCCCGCGCTAAATGCTTTCAAGCTATCAATTCCGGTTGAGTGATTCTGCACTTGCTCTGTTACTATAGTACTATACCGCCTTCAACTTTTACGAACGACTGGGTGTTTAAGGTTAGCGATTTGTCGTATTATCTGGTCGTATAGCAAATGAAAAAAATACAATTACATGTAAGTTCAAAATTTGTGTTTTAATATTTACGTGTTTTTTTTTATTTAGGGCCCCTTGATAACATATATTCTTGTAAGCCCCGCACGAGCTAAATCGGGCACTGCTAGGCACTGCACTGCAGTGATAGTTCTACGGGCACAATGATACTCCGGACTCCAGCCAGAGTGCTTTTGCCGTCGTTCTCGCGGCGTGTGGGCACTGGCGATAGCATCGCGGAGCTTGGCGACAGATGCGACGAGACTCTCAGCATAAACACGCAACCCAAGTAACAAAGACAAAGAGCCCACCCCCTCCGTATAGCCTGTAACAGACTGTTGGGGCAAGTGCTGTTAGCGAGCACCTATGAAGGCCGGCACGGCACACGAGGGGGTGCGGTGGCCAGCACCAGTGGCGATGTTTACACATCGCACCAGGTACTCATTTGAGGCTGAGTAGACCTAGGGGATGCCCAGAAGCTGTTCAGAAAATCGTCACTGCTGTTGGTGGCCATGAGCGGGAATCGGAACTCGGTTCGCCGGGCACGTAGCGCAGCGTAGCGCTAACCACTGCACGATCGGCTCCCCCCAAATCAACACACAACTTTTGTCTTGCCGCTACTACACCAGCCGAATTGTGTGGCCTTTTGTGTATCTTTTTTACGCGAGTTTGATCGAAGCTTCGGACATTAGAGGGGGGAAACAGAGACTTCAAAAACTAAAATATGACAGCCAAGCGCGTCATCATAGCGCTCTGCCAACGTAATTAGCGGTGTCCTCGAATACGTTTTGTGGTGCACACCGGTCTCCGCGGGAAATACACGAATCGTAATCCGCTCTCGCGTGGTTAAATAAAGCACGTGCTTCACTTGTGAGACGCAAGGTGCCTGTGCCTATGCGAGTTTCTGCACGCGTGTGTCTCTTAGTCTTTGTACGCGTGGGGAGTGGTGGTTCCCGTGTGTATGCCGGCCGTCTGGGTTCGGATCTCGGCCACGGATAACATCGTTGACGAGGGATATCTGAACCGGTCCTGGGCCTTCCCCAAGTCGGTTCAGCCCTAGATCAGTATCCGGAGTACTGAGAAGATGAAGGTGGCCGGGAATGGTGTTGCTGGCCACACCGCTCCGTGATGCGCCTTCACGGGATTCAACAGTACTCGCTTATAGCTCTCGTCGCAACAGCTTGTCAGAAGCGACACGGGGGGGTCGTTGCCTTCTGTATGCATGTGGAGCGCTGGCGCACGGCGCTACGAACCTGGCCACCTGAGTTCGCTTCCTGGTCAAAGCTAACATCAATGGCAAATGGGTGTCTGGAACTGTCCCGTGGCTCTCCTAGGTCTACTGCGCCGTCAAATGAGTACTCGGTATGCACGCGACTGTCGGTTGCGACTCGAACGCACGAGTCCCTGCCGCGTCTCCTTCCCGTGACGCGCACCGTGACGCTCGCCGACACTCTGTGACTCTCTCTCCCCGTGACTCCCTACCGGACTATATTCATCATCACTCACGTGTTGATTTGAAGCTTTCGTGACTGCAGGAATTCCATACTCTTTGGTTCTTTCGGTAAAAGTCACGTAGGTAGAAGAAATTATAGATCACGCCGTTTCGATCGCCACGCAAGCAATCGAAGACGATTGCTCGTGTGACTTTTACCGAAAGAACCAAAGAGAATCACTCACGTGCCCAACCCGGTGGCGCGTGCTGGGCGGGCTGCATAGCGAGGCGTGCGGGAGGGAGTCAGGGAGGGGACAGTGAGAGGCTGTTGGGGGGGGGGGGGTGAGGACGAGGGGAGGGGCTGGGGGTATAAGTTATATTCTCGTGTCCGTATGGGGTGAGAGGGTGGGAGCAGGAGGGGGTGGGGGGGGTGTCGCGACTCGGAGGGGGTCGCTAGCGCGACAGGTGGACGCGAAGTCGCGCTCCGGTCGCGACCAACAGAGACGGCGCGACACGGTGAGGACAGCAGCAGCGGTCGCGTTGCCAGTGCGCGGACATTCTTCACCCGGTCCGACCGCGCTGTGTATCAATCCTCTCCCTCTCTCTCGGGGTCACGCGCGGGAGGGCTGGGTGGGGGTGGGGGCAATGGAAGTTGGTGAAGAAGGAGGTGAGAGGGTGACACAATGAGGGAGTTGGGGGGGGTCAAGTTTGCACGGATTGAGGTTGGGGGGGGGGTGTTATTATCAGGGTTCAGGATCGGGGTTCCGCTTGCTGGTAACTGCGCTATATGAACGAAGCGGGGATCGGCCCATCACAGGCCACTTCTGACCCCGCGTCTTCCTGAGCCAGAGACCACCGCGTTCCGTCCACCCGCTGCCGGGGCCACAGCTCCACCGCCTCCTCCTCCTCCTCCTCCTTCACCTCCTCTGCCTCCACATCGTTTCCGACCTCCACGTCGTCACCGCGAGAGGCCCTCCTCTCGCCCCGAGTGCACGCGATGCCAGAGTCCCGACTCTCCACCGCCGCCACCTCGGCGAGGGCCGACGCCCGCCCCTCGGGGTCAAACTCGCGCTCGTCAAGTTCAGGGTCGCGGTCCCGAGCAGCGCTTGGGGCGGGCGACGCCGGGCGAGGCGCGGCGGCTCGGGGCGCGGGTTGCTCACGAGCGGCCACGGCCGCCCGGTGGGAGGCCCTCTCGGGATCGACGTGCGTCCGGTAGCGCTTGAGGCGGACCGCGTCCCGCGGGGCCTTCGCGCTCGTGGCCCGGCACGGCAGCATGGCGCGCACGTCAGCGCGGAACTTTCCGCTCATGCCGAAGTAGATGAAGGGGTTGTAGAAGCTCGCGGACTTTGCGAAGAGGGCCGCGAGGAGGCTCGTGAGCGCCGGGACGCGGTGGCCGCACGCGGAGTACATGGAGATGACGGCGTACGGGCTCCAGGCCAGAATGAAGGCGCAGCAGATGACAATGGACACCTGCGGTGGGAGGGTCGGCGCGGAGGTGAGCGCCGAGGTCAGGATGGGACGGCGACTTTGAAGGTCAAGGTCTCAGGTCGCGAGCAATGCCGGGTTGTGACGACAACCCGGCAGATCGTGATATACGAGGTGAGAAGGCGATTGCGATTAAATGCCACCTACGGCAGGTCAGAATGGGATGACAACTTGAGCACGGTTTATAAAGTGGCAGCTGCCGTGGTTCAGGAGTCAGAATTGAGCCGGAGCCGTTGAGAACCTAGGTTCGAATCCGGGCTAGAGCCGGCCCATTGCCGCTTAATCCGGGTTCTCGAGTGAAGTGAATTGATGGTCTCAGCCTGGTCACCGATAACCACACGAAACGTCTATCAGGTTAAGTTGGTTTCTCACTTAACTTGGCTACATTCCTGGCGAATGCAAATTTGCTCCGCTAAGAACATTTCTCTTGTAGCAGGACGCGTCGTAAATTGCGCCCCAAGCGTATGGATAACAAGGGGGTCTTTTAAGGACCGTCACAAGTAGTTCTGTGTTTTGATTTAAAGCTTTCGTGACTGCAGGGATTCATATTCTTGGTTCTTTCGGTGACTTTACGTGACTTTACCGAAAGAACCAAGAATATAGTTCTGTGTTGTCTGTTTTAGCGGACCATTCTCTAACAACTCGTTTTTCTCTCATTGCGATAGTGCAGGGCAGACGCTGGGTCTCCTGCCCTGACACTGATTGCGCATTTGGAGAAGCGTTAAGAAATTACACCGACAATTAAATGCAAAGTCTTACAATTCCACAACGTTGGAGCTCGATCTCCACTCGCGCGTCAGCTTCGCGGAGGGACGGCGAGTTGAGACATGACCGGTATTTGGACTCGCGGGTTTACTATTGTGGGACTACTCTGGACTCGTCTCTCTCTCAGCTTTACCGATAAATTATTATCCATTATATATCTCTGGCCTCTGTGTGTATTTGCTATGAAGAACCCATTGCCCGAAACGTCGCCGATTATATACTTATTTCCTTTTCGGGCCACGCAATGTTATTGACAACTGAGTTTGTTGTTGTTGATAATTGTGCTTGTGCACCACTGCAAACGCAGCAGCAGCATCGCCAGACCATTTTTGTTTTTAAATCAGCAAATGTAGTTGGCAGTGATTGCATTGCGAGCAAACGGATGTTCGAGAAAAGTGCGTGAGAGTGTTGTTATGTCTGAGAGTGCGTGCGCGTGTGTGTGCACGAGTGGCGAGTGTGTACCACAGTGGTTGGCGCGCTGCGCTACGAATCCGGCGGCCCGAGTTCCTGTTCCTGCGCACACGGGTGACGATTATCTTAACCGGTCCTAGCCGCCCCCCTCCCTCCCCCCTGGTGCGATGTGTAAACATCGCCATGAGGGAGACAAAGGCGGCCGGGCGTGGTGCTGGCCACCCACCCCCTCGTGTGCCGTACTGGCCATCATTGGTGCTACTCGCTAACGGCACTTGCCCCAACAGTCCGTTTAAAGGCTATACGGGGGACCTCTGTCTGTGCGGGTGCGCGCGCAATTACAGGCACGGCGATTTGCGTTCCAATCCCCGCCGCAGGAATCGTACAGTCCATAGTTAGCACTACAGTATACAATGCAGTAATAGAGGTAGACTGCGCCTTATTGGTCGGCTGCGTAAACATCGGCACTGGGGCTGCGTCCTAAATCGCATTTGACTAAATGTGCTCGCGGGGAAGATGAAAGGTTTCCATCGCTGTCACAACCCACACGGTTTACCCCGCATTTTCTTGTGTAGGGAAATTTAGTTTTCAGGTCCAGACGGTGTACAGCCGTTTCAATACGGGCAACAAAAACACGTTTTGTCTATTTGCTTGTGTTTCTCCCTTATGATGGGACTTTGTAGGATGAACGTTGGGATTGATAAAGGGCACGGGATGCCCAATAAGGGCCACTGGTAAGGAGTCGACAGATATATGGATTTTTCGACGGCGTGTGCATCCCATTGGCATGTCCGCCCTATCGATTCTCCAACCAACGTTTACTCTTAAACAAAACTGCATATTAAACACTTGATTACGTTCATTGTAAGTCCCGTTTTATGTGTGGTGTGTGTGTGTGCCTGTATATCCATATATACGAATACACGCACGTATGCTTATGGGTATATGCATATTACAGGGCATGGGTCGACAATCAAAATAACAAGAGGAGGCATTTTTCTGTTCGAATTCTGTAAAAAAGAAAAATCTAAAACGCCCAAGAGCCGCAATGGGATGTGGATAGCAGGCACGTGGTCCTAAATAAATGACGTCACGAAGCGGACGTGCGAACCCGGCCACCCGAGTTGGATTCCCGCTCACGGCCAACACCAGTGAAGATTCTGTGAACTGGTGCTGGGCCACCCTTGGGTCGACGCAGATTCAAATGAGCACCTGGTGCGGTGTGTAGTGAACACCGCCACTAGGGAGACAAAGGCGGCCTGGCGTGGTGCTGGCCAAACCACCCCCTCGTGTGCCGTGCAGGGCCTTCATAGGTGCTCGCTAACAGCACTTGCCCCAAGAGTATGTTAAGGCTACACGGGGGATATTTGCCTGTGGATGGACGCGTCACTAGACTGCATCGTGGCCGATATACGGAATGGCAGCAGAAGGTGAGATCGTCCCAGAAGACGCCCACCGTGAAGACAGAGCCATGTGTTCGACTCAAGCAGGAGTGGAATTAGTGTTAGCAACACTGGGCCTGGAGGGATGTCCACAGCAGCGGAGGGGGTGGGGGAGGCGCTCATACAGCAGTGGATAGCCCCATGGCTGATGATGATGCTGATGACGCCGATTATGTGGGTTTTGGTTCTCTCTACCCTCGTGATGTCTCGCTCCATGTTGCGCTGCCGCTCTGACACGTCGCCCATGCGCGCCGTCACGTGACTCGACTTGACCGTGTTGATGATGGAGATGTAGGCGAACAGCATGGTGGAGATGGGCATGAAGAAGCAGCAGATGAAGATGGAGATGATGTAGGACTTGTAGATGGTGGAGAACGTGGCCTTCATCCAGTCGATCTCACAAGTCCCGTACCTTCGGTCTGTTGGGGGGAAACGACAAACGCGATTGGCCGCAGTCGTACGCCAGGTTCTATCTACTGGAGGGTGGAGAAGGGCCATGGGGACGGACGCGGGAGCTCCTGGGTGCTGCTGTGGGGAGTCGTGATGCGCCACGTCCATGCGGTGTTGTTGCCGGATGTTCCGCGCCAATGTCTCCATCACCATCACCACCATCACCACCATCACCATCACGACCATCACCATCACCACCACCATCACCACCATCACCACCATCACCACCACCATCACCACCATCACCACCACCATCACCACCATCACCACCATCACCACCATCACGATCATCACCATCACCACCATCACCACCATCACCACCATCACCATCACTATCATCACCACCATCACCACCATCACCATCATCACCATCACCACCATCACCACCATCACCATCACCACCATCATCACCATCACCACCATCACCATCATCACCATCACCACCATCACCACCACCACCATCACCACCATCACCATCACCCCCATCACCATCACCACCATCACCACCATCACCACCATCACCAACACCACCATCACCATCACCGCAACTCGCCCAAGTGATGTGACAGCGATCCGGCCGATTCGTCAAAATCTGGATCTGAACTGACGAATGAAGGAAGGGATCGTCTGGGTTGGGTTAGAAAGGTGGTGCTGCTGTAGAGGATGGTGATGCTGCTGATGATGACTGTGTGTTTGAGTTGGTATGATGATGATGATGGTGAGATGGTGCTGCTATCGAGGATGGTGATGCTGCTGCTGATGACTGTGTTTGGATTGGTATGATGACGATGGTGAGATGGTTCTGCTGTAGAGGATGGTGATGCTGCTGGTGATGAGTGTGTTTGGGTGGGTATGACGATGATGATAATGAAGGTAGTGATGCTGTAGAAGAAGGTGTGGGTTGGTATGATGATGATGATGAAGGTGGTGATGATTAACATGTGGAGGCGTTTTTCCACAAGTTACCGACGAGACATACTGCATTTCTATTTACGACAAATCCTGATATTTTACATTTAAAACTGTGATGATAAACATTGCACTTTTTTCTTCAGGTCATTAAAAGAATACGCAAGTCAACAAAAAAAATATCTGGTATGTTGCAGACCAAGGGCCCAGCAACCAAATGGCAAGAAGAGCCTTTTTGTCGTCTTCGGTATAAAAAAAAACCCTCAATATTTAAAGAGACCCAATGGAAGTGGGTGAATACGAGAAGGGTGGTCCTCAATAAACAACATCGCGATCAAGTGAGTCCTGTTGTAGGCAGAGACTGCGTGCGTAGCGTAGCGTTCCGAGTCGTCTTAGAGTTGCGTGGTCACGCTTCGCTAAGGAGGAGAAAGAAGAAGAAGAAGAGGAGGAAGAAGAAGAAAGAGAAATCCAAGCGGACGTGAAAGTGACGCCGCGCGGCACCCACCCGTGTAGCTGCCCCAGCCCAGGAGAGGTGCCGCTGACCAGAAGAGCGACGCGGCCCAGACGAGGGCAAGGGACACGACCATGCTCGTGCTGGTCACCTCGTGGGCTGTGGAGGTGTGGGGGGAGGTGGGGAGGAGATGGGGGAGCAGGCAGGTTATTGGGGGGCATGAGGGAGGTGGGGGTTGGTGACGGGGGAGACGGTAGTGGGAGCACGACCGATCTCTTGTTATTATAAATACTTAACTCGCATTGGAAGTTGAGCAGGCTCGGTGGCTATGTATGTATGTATAGTGAGCTTCTTTCTGCACCGTACGTAGCCAGCCGTGCTAATCGGAGGTGCGAAGGAAGGACAAGAAACTAAACACAAAAAAATCGGTTCTGAAGAAATGAGTTTTCAATCTAGGCCAAGAGGTCACAATGAGTCGGCAGCGTAGAGAAGCCTGGGTTCGGATCCGCGTTTCAGCCGCGATGACGCGGGGTGCTCGAGTGTGGCGCGTTGATGGACCGCACGCGACACATCGGACTACATTTGGGGTTTCACTTAATGTTGCTACGTTTCAAGCCCAGTTTTACCATCACAGGGTCTGTTGAATGGATCCCAGACGTAGTTTTCTGATATCTCCTTCCGCGGACCGTTCTTTAAAACGTGGTTGTGCACTGTTGACTGTGAGAGTTCTGAACTGATCATTCGTCTCATTGCGCGATTCTATTCGTGCAAGTAGGACAAGCTGCTTTGCGTGGAGAGTTAACAAATCATTTAAAGTCCCATGAGTGAGCTCTTCCAGCAGGAAAAGATGCGTTGACTGGGTCATGTCGCCCGCATGCCCCAACCACAGCATGCCCAAACAGCTTTTGTTTGGCCGGATAGAGGCAGCTAAACGGGCGCGGCACGGGCTAGATAAGAGATGGAGTGATGTGGTACAGGAGGATGTGGAGCCTAGTAGACTTCCCGATGACTGGTACCAGTTTGTGTCAAGATTGGCCTCTGTGGAGGGAGGCTCGTGAAGGACGCTACTGGGCAAGTTGGATGCAGTTAGCCAATATCAACAACGGACAGTGGAGGAGCGACGCTCACTGGAGCTACGGCACTTTTAAATCTAGATTGAAAACTAATTTCTTTAGAAATGACTTTTTTGTGTTTGTTGTTCTTCAATCGCACTTCCGATTAGCACGGTTGACTACGTGCGGTGCGAAAGAAGTTCAACACAGTACATACCACAACAACGAGCGCTGACCCGGGCAACTCAATCGCAGCATGATGGCACAGTGGTGAGCGCAGGTGGTGCATCTGGCAGGTATCTCAGTTAACCCATGGCACCTGGGTTTGTCCCGTGATCTCTTGCCAGCGAGCATGCGACACTGCAAGTGGCCGCAAAGTGCATGTAGCCTGGTGATGTAATCACCGCTTATTTGTGAATAGCGGCTATTGTATGTGGTTTTGGGGGGGGGGGGGGGGGGGGGCGGTTGGCGCAGTTGTTAGCGCACTGAACTTCTTAGACCGGCGGCCAGAGTTCCATTCCTGTTTGAACCGCTCCTGGCGCTCCCCTAGATTGACTCAGCCTTCAATGAGCACTGGCTACGGTGTGTAAACATCAACAGTGAGGAGACAAAGGCGGCCGTGCGTGGTGTCGGCCACTCACCGCGTCCGTGTCCCCGTGCCAGCCTTCACATGTTTCTCGCTCACAGCGCTTGCCCCAACAGTCTGTTCACGGCTATGGCGGGGGATATGTATGGGACATTTTTTTTACCAATATAAAAATGATGAAAAATATAAGAATGGGATTCACCCTTTTATGGCAGTAAAATAGGAGGTGTTAAGATGTTCAAACACCAAATAGAAACATTTTGCAAGGCAACAAGTCTCCGTTAACCACACGGTACTTGTAGCAAAACATGCAAAACAAATGCGCTTTGATAATACAGAGTGCTTCAGAAAAATGTCAACACTTAAATGGGACTATCGTTTTTAATGCAAAACGAAACGGATAATACACTGTACCATGATAACAAATGTAATGTTAACAGCTTCAAAAAGTCAAAGAGTCTCCCACGTGTTCGCCATCATTGTCAACACGTGGCCTGGAATCTTCTCCCAAGTGGTCTCCAGAGCCAGGAGGCAGCAGCACATTTATTGTGGTTTTGTTGCAAATTGACGGAAGTATGAACATCTGTTTAAGCACCCTGTATACGCATTGTCTTTGAAACTGATTGACCTGCACCAGAGACAGCCTTCATTTATGGCTTTGTCTCGCCAGTGTGAGACCATAGCATGTTTGTTTCCATGTATTTGGGTGTTTGGACATCTTAACACCTCCTGCTTCATTGCCAGAAAGGGTAAAGTCCATTCTATATTTGAAGTTTTCGTGACTCAAGGATCCATACTCTTTGGTGCTTTCGTAAAGTCACGTAGGTGAAAAAATAATAAAAATAAGAATAAAAACATAAGTAATCAAATTAAATCACGACGTTTCGGAGCAACACAAGCGTCCGTTATCAAAAACAAACAAAAAATACTGTAATTCTTTGTTTCTTTGCTGTGGTTGTCCCACCTGATGACGGAGGCTTGTGTTGCTTCCGAAACGTCGTGATTTCATTTGATTATTTATATTTTTTTTCACCTAACGTGTCTTTACCGAAAGAACCAAAGAGTATGGCAAAGCCCATTGTTATATTGCGGGGGAGCTTAATATTTCGTGTGAAAGTCTGCTCCGGTGAGACAAATGCGCTCGAGGTGCCATTGGCAACATCTGCCTGGCGCGTGATGGATGATCTCCCTGCAATCTCCCCTGAGTGTAAAGACGATCCACGTGGATACACTTGCGTCTGGTATTGTGGTGTGTGTGTGTGAATTCGTGTGCGTGTGAACCCGTGTCTGTGTGTGAATGCGTGTGAGTGCATGTATGCATGTCTCTGTGTCAGCATGTGTGTACGTGTGTGTGTGTTGTGTGATAAAATAATCTGTGTGTAGTGTAGCGGTTTAGCGCGCTGCGCTACGAACCCGGCGAACCAAGTTCGATTGCCGCTCACGGCCAACATCGTGAAGAATATCTGAACCGGTCCTGGGCCTCCCCTAGGTCGACTCAAGGCTTAAATTGGTACCTGGTGCGGTGTGTAAACATCGCCACTGGGAGGCAAAGGCGGTCGGGCGTGGTGCTGGCCACCCACCCCCTCGTTGTACCGTGCCGGACTTCATCGGTGCTACTCGCGAACAGCACTTGCCCCTACAGTCCTGTTAAGGCTATACGGGGGATCTTTGTGTTGTGTGAGCCATGCGAGAAACACCCCATCACCTTGGTGTGGCCGACAGCCCTTGATGTAGCGGGTGATGCTGATGACGGTGAGCGTGTTGATGCTCGCCAGGGCCGAACAACAGCGTCAGGAAGCCGTCAACCTGGGCGGTGAGGGGTAGGGGTGAGAGGGATAAGGGGGTTCGGAGGGTCAGTGTGCGGTGATGGTGGAGTCAACGGTTGGTGAGTTCAGGACGAGTTTGTAGGAGGATTGGGTGAATGTGTGATGGGTGTGAGGTGAGTGTGGAGTGGAGTGGAGTGATTTGTGTGTGGGGTGTGTATGTGCGTGAGGATTTTGGTGAGTGTGCGGTAAAGCTGGGGTCAGGATGGGTGAGTGTGGGGTGAGGGAGGAGTGAGGATGCGGTGAGTGTAGAGTAAGGGGAGAGTAAGTAAGGATTTAGGTGGGGGTGCATGTATGTTTAACTTTCTTCGTACCGTACGTAGCCAACTGTGCTACTCGGTAGGTGCAGGGGAAGGACAACAAACTAAACACAACAAGCAGTTCGCAAGGAATGACTTTTCATTCTGAGATGATGATTTAAAAGTGCACAGCTCCCAGTAGCTTCCTAAGATCGGAAGGAAGAGAGCGTTCCAGACGGCCGCAGATGCGCATCTAAAAACGCCGCCGCGCGATGATCCGGTGACCACCGCCCTTGGACGCTGGCTGAGCCAAAAGCCGCTGCTGCGAGGATGGATCCGAGTTCGCGTGTGGTGGTGCATTAGTGAGTGTTGGTAGGGGTGAGCAGATGGAAGGAGGGAGGGTTGGGGAGGGTGAGTAAGGTGATTGCGAGGCGATTGTGGGGCGAGTGTGAGTCGATAATGAAGGTGAGTGTTGGGATGAGCGCGGGGAGAGCGTGTTGATGAATCTTGACTTAAAGCTTTCGTGACTGCAGGGAATTCATATTCTTTGGTCTTTCGTAAAGACCACGTAGATAGAAAAAAAAAATATCACGACGTTTCGATCGTAACACAAGCAATCGCTATCAGGTGAAAAAATTGCGATATTTTTTTATTATTTTTTCTATCTACGTGGCTTTACCGAAAGACCCAAAGAATAGTGTGTCGATATTTTACCTAGCGCACACACACACACGGGCGATGGCTATTTCCGTGAGCTGATCCGCTTCTACTGCAACAAAGGGCCGATTCACGTCCTTGACAAAAAACCAAACGTAATTTTCCGCTCCACGATATTGGCCAAGAAGAAGCGAGAGAAAAGAGCAAATGTCTCCGTCGCGAACAACGTCGTACGCCCTCGCATCGCCATCGCAACGAAACATCCTCCGTCGCGCCAGACGGGAAGGAAAGAATATCATCAAGTGGGGTTGTTATTTTTTATCGGCTGTACCACGAACGTGGACTTCTTGTCAACGTCTCCCATCATCCGTCATCGTCGTCATCGTCGACAATGACGACGACGACGAGGACGCGGAGGACGGGCAAGCGGACGGCCGCACCTGGCAGGTCCACGTGGACTTGATGATGTAGCCGTCGTCCTGGAAGACGTTGAAAATCTCAATGATGCCGCGGGGAGTAGCCGAACACGGCGATGCTGGCGTCGGACAGCGCAAGGTTGAGGGTCAAAAGGTCGGGCGGCTGCAGGGAGCTCCATTGGCGCGTGAGGACGAAGATGACGAGGCCGTTGCCCAGCCACGAGAGCCCAGCCTGGCGCGCACTGCGACAGCCAAGGGGTCACGGACCGCGCAGAGGGGCTGTGGGTTGGCACCCGAGCGAGGGTTTGGGGTTTTTGGTTGTGCGTTGGGGGTTAGGAGGAGGGTTTTGGTCATGTATTGAGGTTAGGAGGAGGGGTTGTTGTTATGTGTTGGGGTTATGCGTTGGAGTTAGGAGTAGGGTAGTTTGTTACGCTTTGGGGTTAGGAGTAGGGTTATTGTTATGTATTGGGGTTAGGAGTTGGGTTTTTGTTATGTATTGGGGTTAGGAGTCGGGTTTTTGTTTATGTGATGAGGTTATGTGTTGGAATTAGGAGTAGGGTTGTTGTTACGTTTTGGGGTTAGGAGGAGGGTTATTGTTACGTATTGTTGTTACGTATTGGAGTTAGAGTATGGTTATTGTTACGTGTTGGGGTTATGTGTTTGCGGTTAGGAGTCGGATTTTGGTTATGTGCTGGGGTTATGCTTTTGGTTAATGTTTGGGGTTGGGTATTACAGTAACAGATTAAGGTTGGGATTTTACACATGAGTTGGCGTTAGCGTTAGGATGTACATTTTGTGTTAGAGTTATGGTTTTGATTATGTGTTGGGGTTAGGGTTTTTTTGTCTGAAAATCCTGCGTACTTTCACTGGAAAAACCACCTCTGCGGTACAAAATTCTACTCACCTGGTATCGACAATCAAGGGTATTTCCCTGTCCCCAGACGACCTGCTTGTCAGTTTTGATGTAGTTTCCTTATTCACCAAAGTTCCTGTACCTGACACCATCGCAATAATTGAAGACTTGGTTCATCAAGGACTAAACACTGAGGTACCCCCCCCCGGTGAGACACTGTTTAACCAATACATAATTCACTTGGAATGGAACTTTCTACAAACAAACTGAGGGCACCCCAATGGGCTCCCCCCTATCTCCGGTTATAGCTAACATTTTCATGGAGAAATTTGAGGACTGACGCCATCCAGACTGCCACTCTGCGCCAAACCTTATGGAAGAGGTACGTGGATGACACTTTTGTCATCTGGCCACATGGCCGGCCTGCTCTAGACCAATTCTCGACCACATCAATTCCATACACCCAGCCATCAGAATTTACCATGGAAGTCGAAAAAGATGGCAAGCTAACTTTTTGGATGTCCTAATAAAAAAGAGACCTGATGGTTCAATGAGCCACTCTGTCTACAGGGAAAGCTACCCATACGGATGCTTATCTGACACCGGATTCCCACCACCATCCATCACAGAAGAATTCTCTCATCAAGACTCTGTACCATAGAGTCCAATGCATATCCGACCAGGAACACATAGGCAGTGAACTAAAGCACTACACCAAGCTCTTAAGGCTAATGGCTACTCCGACTATACAATCCGCAAAGCTATCACTCAAACCATGAAGAAGGACCCTCTTGAGGAGCCTTTCAAAACCATCACTTTGCCCTACATTGCGGGGATCACAAAAAAGATCTCCAAAATCTTGAATAAACACAAGATCCAGGTCCGTTTTAACACATTACATAAAATCCGTGATCTGCTTCCGTCTGTAAAAGATGTGATTCTGGACATACAGTACCCTGGTGTCTACAAACTAAGTTGCCTCTGTGGTAGTAGTAGTTACATTGGAGAAACCAAACGCCATGTCTCGGACCGCATTCGTGAACACAAAGCAGACCTTGAACACGGTAGGACCAACACCTCGGCCGTGGCAGATCATTGTTATAATTCAGTAGGCTCACATGACATTGACTTCTCCAAGACAGAGGTTATTTGTAAGCCATCTGGCTACCATGAGAGATTCGTTCATGAGGCTATCCACATATACAAGCACAGAGACAATTTCAACTGAGATGATGGATTCTGGCTTAGCAATCATTGGACGGATTTGATCAACCATTTCAGGTCTTAATTGATTGTTCACGCTTACGGTGGCTTTCAGACAGCATACATTAATTTTTCGTCTCCCCCCTCCTCTTTTCAGAACATAGATGGACTCGTCCTTCTATTAATAAATAAATACTTAAATGCGAACCGACACTTCTTTCAAATGTTTCTTGCCGTTGGTTTTCACACCTGATGATGACCGTTTGTGTTATGGTCGAAACGTCGTGAGAATTTTTATTGTTTTATATATTTTATTATTTTATTGTTTCCCTTCAACGTGACTTTACCGAAAGAGCTAAGAATATGAGTTAGGGTTATCATTAGGGGTTGCGGCCATGATTGTGAGTTAGGGAGTGGGATTAGTCTAGAGTTGGGGTTGGTGTTATTGTCCAGGCTAAGGTTATGGTTTGGGATTAGTGGATCACACAGAGAGGCAGTCATCGTGCGTGTGTGTGAGACACATCTGGCTGCAGCACAATGGCTTGTTGTTTTGCCTGTAATAGGCAAGTAGAGCAAGTAGGTTCCCGACTCGTCTGCTCGGACTCGTGAAGTGCCATACCTTCACGGTGTGTGTAGGGGGTTATCTCCGGTCGTACTGGTTGACACTGGGTTAAGGTCATCCTTCAGCTCATGGAGCGGAACAGATTACAAACTTCCGGCCTTGGGTTTCAAGAGACGATGATGCGTTATCGGAATGAATCCTAAAATAAATAATAAATCATAAGAAACTAAATCTCCAATTTCCTCCCATTCGGGAATATCAGGGCACAGATGAGGCTCGCGCGTGGGTGGCATCATCCCCGACGGGAAATCTGCCGTCACATTTTCATCATCGTGGTTGTCTCAGCGTCAGCGCGATGAGGGCATGGTGCGCCTGTACGTGGCCCGGATCTTATTTTAATTCCTCCGTTAATTCCATCCGATTGTCCCCCGGGCTTGCCCGGAACGTGCGGACAGAGGGCGGCCGCTGACACAGGCGATTATTACAGAGGAACAGAAACGGGAACTTTGAGCAATGCGAGACAACGTGGAAGCAGTCGATTGGAAATGTGGCAGACACCTCAAACTCATGGACAAACTCGCGCGTCGCTTAATCGACATGAATGTTCAATGGCCACGATTGCCAACCATCGGGTGCGTGCAGTGCGCAGTGAATTCAGTTAAAAATAAAACATGAAGTATTGGTGTTAACGAAGAGGTGGACCGTGGGTGGTGGCGGGGTGGTGGCTAGAGGGCCTAAGAGGGCCGAAGTTGGGGAAGACGGCCATGCACCACAAACTTTACGGATCTCACCGGAGATTACTTGTAGGCTGCTGGTCTGTCGTTCACTGTTGTTGAGTGAATCGGCAGTCGGTTTCCGTGGCAGGTGTTTTCCTTTGAAATTCAGGTCTCCGCTCGCACGTCGTTTAAATAAAGGTTCAATGGTGATGATGATGATGTCTATTATAGCATTTAAATATGTTCCAACTTGCATCCAGAAAGCCTGTTTGGTCTGGCCTTATTTGTATCGATGTGGTCTTACCACATTACCAGTCCTAACCCTGATCGTAACCCTCGCCATAACCTTGACCTGACCCTAACCCTGACCCTAATTACATCTCTAGCCCTGACCCTAAACCAGACCATATAGCTCTAAACCTATAGCCCGAACACTAAACGTGACCCTGACGTCTATACCTGCCTTAGTAGTCCGTGGTACAGCACCAGCTATTCTAGTTGTCGGTAGCCAGTAGAGCTTTATGGCTGCCAAGTTCCACGCATGGGCAACAGCGGGGAATGATGCTGAACCTTGTCGAGTGAGAGGCTGAGCTATCGCACTCCGACTTGCCTCTCTCTGCCCACAGGAACAAACCGACACTCGTGGTGTGGGGAGGGTTGGAGGAGGGGAGGGGTGTTGGTGGGTGGGGGGGGGTTATCGGTGGTGCAGTGGTCGCTCAGCTACCAGAGTTCAATTCCCGGCCATGGCGAGTGACATCTGGACCGGTTCCACCCTCGCCCCCCCCCCACCCCTTACTCACGTTCACCATGCCGCATCGGTCAGCCGGGTGAAGTATAGTCAAGCGAGCACTCCCGTGGCCAACGCGGTGTTGGAGAGGCTTTCATCTTCATCCAGCAGTGGATTGACAAAGGACTCTAGATTATTATTACTATCATTATCAGGAGTAATATTAGTAGAATAAACCGCCAGTACTCTAGGTGGTAAAACTCTCTCAGCGCTGGCACTGAAACCACATACCAGTAGTATGTATCTCTCTCTCTCTCCTATCAAGCGATTCTTTTGTTCAACCGCACGCGCTCTCGCCCCTGCGTGCAGACCCGAGCAGGTGTTTCTGCTCTCTCGATATGAACATCGATGCGGTCGGGTGGCTCATAATGGCCGTGTCGGTGCGCCGAGCCAGAGGACCGCCGAGGCGCTTGGTGCACGTCCAGGCGTCTCGACGCGATTGACGCGGCTGGCTGACGATTTCTTTTTTTTTTCTTAAGCAACAATAACGAGAACGGAGAACAAAAAAAATATGTTCTCCCAACGTGCACTGTTTGGGTGGAGTGGTCGGCACACCGCGCTAGGGGTCCCCTGCCACCTCGGTTCGATATCTAAACTCGCGGATAACATCAGTGGCGAGTGTATATCGACAGATGTTATGGGCCTCCTCCTTTAACCAACCCGCACCGGGCAGCGTTGTGCCATCACTAACACGGCATGGGGAGACAAAGGGCTGTCGATTACGATATTTATTTGTAACTTAAATGGAAAACAAATCAGGGAAAATGTGTAAAAATTCAGATGTTTGCTTCACCAGTCACTCAGGTGCGGCGACGTGCTTACCCGAGTCTACTGGCGAGCAGGGGCAGCTTCAGTGACTCGGAGAACGCCCAAAGCGATCGCTCAAGACGACGGCTCACATCGATGACATCAGAATAAACAGAAAGGTCGCGAACGAGAGCGGAGCTTTCGGTCCATCTGGAACCCACAGACAAGCCGGAAGGCAGCCAGAAACAGGCTGCCCACGATTACCCAAGCCATGTGGTCCGCCAGTATCAGGGGATGATTGCTATCTATAATCCCAATTTTAAAAAATTCGGGTGATTTATCACATTGTCGCAAATGTGGACCATGACACCGCCACGCAATGGCCTTCTCTTGCGAATTACGTAACCGGATCTTTAACGTCCACTACGGAGCAGACGGCCTGCACAGGAGTAGTATTATTGATGCTTAATGATCCCGCAGTATTAATCAGGGTGGCCGTCGGAATTCGAACCGTGAACCTCTGACACCCGGCGGCGAACGCGCTACCGCTAGGCCGCATCACGGCCCCAATGAACACTCAGCTGACAGCTCAGCTGACAGCTCAGCTGACAGCTCAGCTGTGACTCAGCTGTGACTCAGCTGACAGCTCAGCTGTGACTCAGCTGTGACTCAGCTGACAGCTCAGCTGTGACTCAGCTGTGACTTAGCTGTGACTCAGCGATCGCGGTGATGACTCAAGGATGGAGAGAGACGGTGACGACTCAATGCTTAGCTTAGGCAGATGATTCGCTCATGACTCAGCTGATTATCAATGACGGAGGTGAAGAGTCTGAAGACTCAATGGTAACCAAAGGTGACGGCTCAATGATGACCGTGGGGAAGACTCAACGATAACCCTGGGCGAACACTCTGTCATCACCAAGCACTTATATTTGTATTTGACCAGGTGAGGCCCACCGAGCTGTACAGCTTTTTTTCAGAAGCGACCTGGCCACAAACGATCGGTTGACGAAGTGGCTCATCCATCGTGTGGACAAAATGTTTAGCAGCCAAATACTCCAAACGCATATCGATTCCAAATGTGGAGGGGGGGGAGAAAACCCCGGAGTAACCCGGAGGAAAAATCCACCGCGACCACGGGTGAGAGAGAGAGAGACACGCAAACTCCAAGCATACAGCAGCAGGCGTCAGAATCGGGATCGAACACCCACGACCTCGTGTACACCAGACGAGGTAGTTAACATCTCCTAGCCACCGTGTTCAGTGACACCTCGCGTGGCGCGTGCCCTACCACCACCCCCCACCCACCCTCGCCGCGGCATAAACGACGCTGAGACTCGAAAGGGACTCACCGAGGCTGATCAGGTAGACCCCGATCGCCGTCTCACCTTGCTCGGACAAGGGGCGGCTCGCTGTACGGGACCGAGCCGTTGTGGTTCCGCCACGGGATGGGCGCGGGGGCAGCGTTTGCTCTGGGGTCACGGCTGAATCCATCGTGCCGACGCCGCGGAGGAGGCGGAGAGACTGAAGTCTCTTCTCCCTCCGCACGGAGACGAGACTCGGCGAGGCCAGCGGCTAGACTGGCGAGACAGATGGAGAGACATAAATAGAGGGATGGCAAGGGGCTAGAGGGAGAGGGGAGAGAGGAGGAGGAAGAGCAGGAGGAGAAAGAGGGGAGAGGGGTTTTAAATCCACGATCGACAGGTGCCCTCTCTAGCGCAGGGATTTGCCGACATAATGCAGCTCATGGTGGAGACAATTAGCTAGAAACACGCGCGTATTAGCCCCACACACACAGACTCTCACCAACACACATACACACTAAGACAAAGCACCCCCCTCTCCCCTGCATAGCCTTAACATACTCTTGCGGCAAGTGCTTTTAGGGAGCACAAGGGGTGGGTGGCCACCACCCACACCAGGCCGCCTTTGTCTCCCCCGGTGCTGATGCTGAGTCGACCTAACCGTGCACAAAGGCAATGATCCCCCGGATAGCCTCAACAGACGTTTGAGGCAAGTCCTGTTAGCGAGCACCTATGATGGCCAGTGCTGATGTTGACTCACCGCATCAGGAACTCGATTGTAAAATGCACTGAGCGTTCACCCGGAGCCCCTCGGCTAATTTCGGAGCACAAATCCTCGCTGGCTGCTCGAGTCGCTCATTCACACGCACTGTACAGCGTAGTCTTCAACAGCTTGTTGGGGCAAGTTTTGTTAGCGAGTAGCACCTATGAAGGCCGGCACTGTGGCACACGAGGAGGGGGGGGTGGGTGGCCGACACCACGCCCGGCCGCCTTTGTCTCCCCCATTGGCGATGTTTACACATCGCACCAGGTACTCATTTGAGGCTGAGTCGACCTAGGGGGAGGCGCAGGACCGAATCAGATAATCGTCACTGCCGTTGGCCGTGAGCGGGAAACGAACATACACACAAAAACACATACAGACACTCGCCACTAGTGTGAACGGTGACCAGGATGAAACTCAGGTGGTCTGTCCACACTAAACCAGCTGCGCCGCAAGCATCCAGAGCTCCCTAGAGACGGACACTTTGATCACGGCGTGCTCGCGAGATAGACGCTGCATGGTCTGTAAGAAGCATCGTCAGGCCTTATCACACAGGAGTGACGGGGCAGAGACATCAGCCAGAGGCGATGTAGTGCCAGAGCAGTGGCGTCTCCACGTCATCTAAGAACAAATCTAAACTCTTTGTATTTTACCAGGTAAGGCCTACTGAGTTATCTAGCTCTCTTTTCTTTCAGAAGCGACCTGGCCACAAATGATAGCTCAACGAAGTGCCTTATGTGGAAATTTACAGAAGCCAAACTCTCTAAACGCGTGTTTCTAAATGTGGAGGGAAAAACCGGAGGACCCGGAGAAAAATCCACGTGACCAGGGTCGGGATCAAACCCATGTCCTCCTGTATGCCAGGCGAAGGAGTTGACTTCTCGCTGCCACCTTCAGTCGCCACGCCGTGAGAATCAACCTCGTGAGGTCCTGGTCAAGTTCACCTTCACGGAATTATATTTGTCTCGGAACCGTGATTTAATTGATGGAGATGGGATTTTAAAAAAATATATATAAACATATTCTAACTGAGGATCTTGGGGGTGAGCTCCATGGTGCAGAGGTCAGAGCCATGAGCTGGCACGTGACTACGAGGGCAGGCAGCCCCTCGTGGCGAAGCGTGGTTCTCGAGTCGAGTGCAATGAGTGCACACAAATCAGTCGCGTTTAATGTTGTGCTGTCCATAATTTGGTGATAGTTCACCTCGCCCGCGAACCTACGCGCCCAACCACAATGCACTCTCTCCACCACCACCACCACCACAGCCACCACAGCCACGACAAGACAGCGGTACAAATCGGATATTTTCACAGGAAAAAAACAAGCAGACGCACAATCTAGATTTGAAGTTTTCGTGACTGCAGGGATCCATTCTCTTTGGTAGGTATACAATAAAATAAATTAAATCACGACGTTTCGATCGCAACACCAAGCGGCTGCTGTTGCAGCAGTTCTTTCTCCTGTCAGCGGTTCTCCTGCTGTATCTGTTCCACCTGATGACGGTCGCTTGTGTTGCGATCGAAACGTCGTGATTTATTTTATTTTATACCTATACGTGACTTTACCGAAAGAACCAAAGAGCACACACACACACAAAGTGCACAACCTCGGTTTCTTCTCGTCGTTTTTTGTTTGTTTAAGAGTGACCTATACCCTTGGCCCTAATCCTAACTCAAGTGCAAATCGAATATTTTTTTGACTCTAACCTCCCCCCCACACACACACCCGCCTCGGCCAAAAACCCCCGTGGGAATCCGAGTCCCCAATTAGAAGGATTCTTTTATCGTTTTACCGAAAAGTGAAGTGGAGTTTTGTTTGTAATCGCCCTGAAGGGCCACGTAGGCGAGACGACGCGGGTCAGCACGCGCTCGCACTGCCGTGGTTTCGTAATGGTGACCCCCCCCTGCGAGGATTATCCACATTTAGCTGCCCTCGCTCAGCCGGCTGATGTCCCTGGCCCCGTCTCCCGGACCCAGTGACTTTGTAGTGAAGCCACCCGCTGGCTAAAATAGCACCCTCACTTCACAATCCCCCCCCACCACCATCCCCTCCCTCACCGCTTCCTGCTACTCCATCTACAACACTGCTCCAAAGGTAAAGGCAAAGATCCCCCCGTATAGCCTCAACAGACTGTAGGGGCAAGTGCTGTTAGTGAGCACCTATGAAGGCCGCCATGGCACACGAAGGGGTGGGTGGCCAGCACCACGCCCGGCCGCCTTTGTATCCCCAGTGGGCGATGTTTACACATCCCTCCAGGTACTGATTTGAAGCTGAGTCGACCTAGGGGAGGCCCAGGACCGTATATCTCTAAACAGATATATCTCTAAACAGGGAAAGTAATAGGTGTTTTTTTTTTCGAATTAAGCTGTATGTAGTTAGGATTTTGGTATGAACTCCACTCGCGTGTCGCTTTAGGCGTATATATTAATGCCTTTGAGTGAGGGATATGATCGTAATTGCATAAGAAATGCAGTTACGTAAAAAATATATATACATATAAGGTAATACCCTCATTTACGTCTCTCCCCTTTGATGTCGTTTCGCAAATACATCGTCGCCTTCTTCCCACGGCCACCTGATTCGCGTCGCCTCAACCCCACGCCTACGTCGCTTGACAGCATCGTCCTCTCTCGTTATCCATCGCGTCTCACAGCCCTCGCCTCCACCACCTTACCCCCACCCGCCCCCCCCCCCCCCCTCTGTCAATTGCCTCGATTTACGTCGCACCTCTCAGGAACGCATCACCGACGTAAAAGCGGGGTTATCACCCTCGCTTAACGACGCGTGTGTGCAGAGGCTCCATCATGTTCAGGTATGTCGCGTCGGCGACGCGCGACGCGAGACGCTTCAGGAACGTGGCTCGCAATGACCGAGGAGCGTTTTGTGGTCCAGAGCCTCGGTTTGCTGGTTCGTAGTCCGAGTGTCAGGATTCTCAGTCCGTTTCTGTCCGCAGCGAGTAGGGTGTTCATGGTGCAGTGTGTAGGGTGTTCATGGTGCAGTGTGTAGGGCGTTCATGGTGCAGTGTGTAGGGTGTTCATGGTGCAGTGTGTAGGGTGTTCATAGTGCAGTGTGTAGGGCGTTCATGGTGCAGTGTGTAGGGTGTTCATGGTGCAGTGTGTAGGGTGTTCATGGTGCAGTGTGTAGGGTGTTCATGTGCCAGTGTGTAGGGTGTTCATGGTGCAGCGTGTTAGGGTGTTCATGGTGCAGTGTGTAGGGATGTTCATGGTGCAGCGTGTAGGGTATTCATGGTGCAGTGTGTAGGGCGTTCATGGTGCCGCGTGTAGAGTGTTCATGGTGCAGTGTGTAGGGTTGCTCATGGTGCAGCGTGTAGGGTGTTCATGATGTAGTGTGTAGGGTGTGTCATGGTGCAGTGTGTAGGGTGTTCATGGTACATTGTGTAGGGCGTTCATGGTGCAGTGTGTAGGTGTTCATGGTGCAGTGTGTAGGGTGTTCATGGTGCAGTGTGTAGGGTGTTCATGGTGCAGCGTGTAGGGTGTTCATGGTGCAGCGTGTAGGGTGTTCATGGTGCAGTGTGTAGGGTGTTCATGGTGCAGTGTGTAGGGTGTTCATGGTGCAGCGTGTAGGGCGTTCATGGTGCAGCGTGTAGAGTGTTCATGGTACAGTGTGTAGAGTGTTCATGGTGCAGTGTGTAGGGTGTTCATGGTGCAGTGTGTAGGGTGTTCACGGTGCAGTGTGTAGGGTGTTCATGGTGCAGTGTGTAGGGTGTTCACGGTGCAGTGTGTAGGGTGTTCATGGTGCAGTGTGTAGGGTGTTCACGGTGCAGTGTGTAGGGTGTTCATGGTGCAGTGTGTAGGGTGTTCATTGTGCAGCGTGTAGGGTGTTCATGGTGCAGTGTGTAGGGTGTTCATGGTGCAGTGTGTAGGGTGTTCATGGTGCAGCGTGTAGGGTGTTCATGGTGCAGTGTGTAGGGCGTTCATGGTGCAGCGTGTAGGGCGTTCATGGTGCAGCGTGTAGGGTGTTCATGGTGCAGCTTGTAGGGTGCTCATGGTGCAGTGTGTAGGGTGTTCATAGTGCAGTGTGTAGGGTGTTCATGGTGCAGTGTGTAGGGTGTTCATGGTGCAGTGTGCAGGGTGTTAATGGTGCAGCGTGTAGGGTGTTCATGGTGCAGTGTGTAGGGTGTTCATGGTGCAGTGTGCAGGGTGTTCATGGTGCAGTGTGTAGGGTGTTCACGGTGCAGTGTGTAGGGTGTTCATGGTGCAGTGTGTAGGGTGTTCATGGTGCAGCGTGTGGGGTGTTTATGGTGCAGTGTGTAGGGTGTTCATGGTGCAGCGTTGTAGGGTGTTCATTGTGCAGGCGTGTAGGGTGTTCAAGGTGCAGCGTTGTAGGGTGTTCATGGTGCAGTGTGTAGGGTGTTCATGGTGCAGTGTTGTAGGGTGTTCATTGTGCAGCGTGGTAGGGTGTTCAAG